CCAAAAAATGCCAAATATGGAAAACAAACAACTTCCTCTGTTGTATTTTTCATCGACTCCATGTTATTTTTGTGTTGCTTAATAAAGACAGCAGGAAAAGCAGAGAAACATATATCTTATGACTTTTATAAACACAAGTCAGCAGTCTCACAGCCAACTCCACATGTGGCATTAATAATAACTCTTTACTCTTACTGTACATTTAATTAGGTAATTACACTAAATGTGTGTTGTGGTGCTTGTCAATCATTAGACAAGAACACTCTTCAGTCTTGGAGGAGGATTATAAGAATTAAGGGACAAAGGCAGCCTCAACGATGTGGAATAATATTTCTAATATTTCAAAAAAGTTAAATAGTCAGGAAGATATACCAATTATAGGAGAGGTTTGGGGGGGATTGTGACAATAATTCTAATCTGTGAACAGACTTTGCAGTCAGATCTGATAACCTGCCGTGTTTCTTTGCACTGTTGTGTGTTTGTTTTGTAAAGAAAAGCTCATTAGGACTTTTATTTCACAGACAAGAGCATTCATCACGGGCAGGACTTTTGGCGCTTGGAGGAAATTTGGCAGTGAACACTCAAATCTTAAATTCCTTTTCAGGTATGCTACAAACAATAATAAACAACTGTAACTGAAAGCTAAATATGACAGATGATGGATTAGCGGTTTCAGACAGGTTTCAGCTTTCGCTGAGGTAGGTTTTTCCTCCACCCTATGCTGAAATAAGCAGATATGAGTGATTCCCTGCAAGTTCAAATGCACAAAATACAATGACAGAGTAAAATATGCCAAGTTACTGGTACTGTCGTTTATGAAAGCAGTAAGCACTTTTTAAAGCTACTAAAAATAAATAACTGAATTTTTTAGAAAATCCATGTCTGTGTTTTTAATATGACATTCAACCATCCATCCGTCCATTTTCTCCCACTTATCCGATTCACAGCTGTCGAGTCTACCACAGAGACTGCAAACTTATTGCAGAGCTACCACAGAGTAACAGGCAACCACTGACACATTCACACCTGTGGCCAATTTAGAGTCACCAATTTGACCTAAAGTGAATGTGTTTGGTACCCAGAGAGATCCCACACAGACAAGTCCGAAGAAAGTTCCCAATTCAAACCCACGACCTTCTGGCTGGGATGCACGCAGCACGCTGATGCGCATTTTATGGCACTGATTCACACTTACTGATAGCTTGAACTCTTGCAGCTCTTCCATTTTCCTCCATTACTGCATTAATATTTTCTGTTTACAAGTTGCTTCACTGCTTCAAAATAGAGCAGATATTTCAGGAGGCGTACTCTGAGGGGGAATAAAGTGGCTAACAGACGACTGAAGACAGGAGCGATGTAGTGGTTTGGTAGAAGAGTTTAACTAACGTTAAACTAAATAAAAGCAGTCCTGAATAAAAACCATTCATAATAGTCACTAAGCTGATCTGTTTCTCTAGAAATTGTTTTCATTCTTGTCCATGTCACACAGGCTGTCACAGAAAGCCCTGTGTATTCCTGGCCTGCTACACATCAACAAACATCTTTGCAAAGCTATTCCTTTTTGAAAAATAAGAGTCTCTGAGCAGAAACTGTGAAGAATCCGTTGCAGTGTAAAATCCATATACTGATGACAAGCACTTGAGTCTGACTGAGTGATAGATGCTCCGCTGCAGCTTGCAGCAGAAATTGGAAAACAGCAGAGGTGTGAGCAGAGAGAGGGGGACAAAGTGTGCAGGGAGACAGCTGCATTGATAGCACAGGCATGCCAGCAGGCAACAGGTCAGTGCGACAGAGTGTGCATGAGACATCTCCTGAGGTGCAGCTAAGCCGCTTAGTGTGGCAGATTACGCTGCCTGAACAGAATAATCTGACATTTTCTTTTGATATTTGTTTCAGACTTCTGTGAGGTGATCATTTGGGACAAAGCCATTCTCAGGGAGTACCTGTGAAAACCATACGAGCTGTTTCGGGGTGTTTGGACGATTGATCCGGCACCTGCCCGGTCGTACGTCCAAGGAATATTTTGCCTGACATTGATGAATGGGTTCTTGTGAAGCCGAGTGCTGCTTAACATGTTAAAGGTGGTGAGCTGGGTTGTGTGTGAGAGCCGAGGCAGGAGTGGAAGGGAGTTCTGGTGTCTGTTATGCTGTAGGCCCTCGGGCAGTTTTTCAGCTGGCAGAGATGGGGTGGGGTGAACAAAAGGAGAACGCAGGAAAAAGCCGAGAGCATAAAAGAAAGTAGATATAAAGGACAGAGAGCGCTTTTTCTTCTTCTTCTTTTTACCTTCAAGTACACATTAGGGAGGCTATGGTGAAATATGCGGGGCTTCATCAGGGTTGTGAATAATCCTACTCTTCAGAGGCTACAAGGTCTTGGAAGTGGCGCCTGTGTCTCTGATTCCTTCTCGAGTTTCAGAGATGTGTCCCTGTTTGATGATATACTGGCATCCCTGAGTTAGGGCTGGGCATAGAGTTACCCACTACCCAGAGGACACCATTACTGTCTTCAGTCAAGTGCTGCAGGGTATGGATGAAAGCAGCAGGCTTCACAGACAGGGGATAGAATTAAGCTAATATACCTACTCCCTGTGTGTGTGTGTGTGTGTGTGTGTGTGTGTGTGTGTGTGTACTACTGAGTGAGTAGTACACTGAGCCCAGTGAGGGTAAAGCAGTCAGCATTTCTGTACATGTGCACCTACTTATGTTATTTACTGTGTCACGCACAAACAAGTACCCAAAACATGTGGAGTTATTGTACGCCAAACATACTGTTGCAGTGGTAAAACCTCTGTCAGATGAGAGTACTACATGCAACTAGACGCAACATAGAAATTCTTTCTTCAGTCCAAAGGTTAACAAAGAAAATCTGCCACAGAGATCTTCCTTTCCAAAAGCAAAACCTGCAATCATCTCCCCAACAGAACTGATCAGAGATGAAGGACATCTGACTCAGAATTGTAGCTCCTACAGGGATTGCGTGACATTCTGGCAAAAATCCTCTGCTTTCTGGCAGAATGTTTGAAGAGAAGATTGATACCATTCTTATATCTCTGTGGTATATATGAATGTACACAAGCCGGAGGTTAATCTGGCTAAATATAGAGACTGGAAGCAGGGGCTATCCAAAAATCACCACTTAACATGCTCTATCTCATTTGTTTGATCTGTACAAAAACCAAAGTGTAAAAATAATATTTTACTGCTTTCATATGTGCAGGATTATTGCTCTGTGAGCCAAAATAACATTAAGCACGCACACTCTGTAAAAAAGAGACGTGTTTGGATTTTATACTGATTAAACAAACAGGACATATTGTGTTAATCAGTGAGCTTTGTAGGTGCTAGTAGGTGGATCCTGTTACTGGCAAACAAATCTGCAGCCTGCAACCAGTCTTACTGCTAGACTAAGCCAACTGTCTGCTGGCTGTATTATTATATCTAACAGACGTTACTCATTTTCACCATTTAATTAAATGTCAAACTCTTTCCAAAAATAATAATTTACTGAGCAATAATACAAAAAAAGACCCAATCCTCAATCTGAGAAACACAAAATAAGGCTTTTCTCCTCAGGCAGACGCAGCCTGCCGTTTCTGAAGTTCATGGTCATTTACCCAAATATAACTGTGCACAGATATTTTTCACTTCTATTCAGCTTCACATAAGGCAGTACACTGTAGCTGTTTATTATGAGACAAGATGTTCAGAGGATTTTAATCCACTAACTCAGCGTGTCCACATAAAATATGCCCGGACTGAGTTTCACAAGCCATTTTCTTCCTTTTATTTCTACATTTAACATTTCCCTGAACAATCTCAAGCGGTCTGAAATGCCCACAAATAATCAAACAGTGATGAATGTGTTACATTTTACATGTTAGCTGAGGCCTCAGATGCATAAAGTATTCATCTCAAATTGGGCACACAGGACGAATAAAGTTTTGTTTAAGTAATAAAACCCCAAGTTTTTCTTACTTGTCAACAAGACTAAAACCCACTTTTGTTTTTAAGGAACAGTTTCACATTAGGTGAATTGTAGAGGGATCTCTACACAGCACCTCTGCAAAGACAACATTTGTTGTAAGATGTTATTTTCCTCTGCTGCAGGCAGCTCTTTTCTTTGAGTGGTTTCCTGCAGTGTTATTGTTACGCAATGAAAAGATGCCTCAGTCTCCTGCCCACAATGTACGGGGAAATTTCACCTGTTTAATAGGTTCCCTTTAACCACCTGTGGTGACAGTTACAGTAGTTACATTCACACGTAAATACCGGGTCCTAAAAGGAAAAAAGTAAAGAAAATATTTGAATAATTAAATCTTTTCTGGGCCTTGGTGTAGTCCCTCATTTCTTTCTCCGTCTGACAAAAAGCAGTCTTACCTCCTCTGTCTTTAAGACAACTTTCTTCCAAGTTGTTGTCCCACATAAACAGAAGGTTTTAACCGCAGGTGTATCTGCTGAAACCACAGCCAGAGCTCTTTGACATCTTTGATATCCAAGAGCAGAGAAACACTGAATGAAACCTGATGGCTAAAGCAGCCTTAAGCCTTTGTCTCATAGTGATGTTCAATACGAGCATCCAACACAAAAGAAAGTGAGTGGAAGGATAATAGGACGGATCTGATTGATGTTCAAGGGGTTGAATGATTGTCGGGTACATTTTTAGGCTATCAGTCACCCGTGTCTCTCTTTGCTTAGCTTCTAGACTGCCTCACTGTTTCAGTTTCACCTGTGGATACTCAGAGCTGAGGGAGAAATTTTAACACAAACACAGGGCAAATTGGCCCAATTAAGTCATTAGGCAACACAAGCCAGAGGTCTGACAGTTTACACTCCTCTGGCTCTACTTACAAAGATCTTTTTAAGGTTTTCCCACCAGCTCCTTTCTACAGAAAATGAATCATAAGGAGCTACAGATGTGTCTATAATAGCTGATTATATCAGCAGTTTCTTTTGGGACTGGGGGAAGCATGTGTACGTGTGCACGCCGGCATGTGTGTTTACCTCGCCTGACATGTCAGGTGCCAGAGGGATGAGGGGCCACAAGGAGGAATAGATAGCGAAAAACACCACCCACAGGCCGATGCTTCCCCAGATGGCGATGTGACTGAACTGTTAGGAGCAACCAGGGGACAGTAAGTATCACAAAAGGTTTTGTGATTTGAGCACTGCTACAATTTACTCGAGCCATTTCAATCACGCTTCCTTGGGCTTAAAACACTGAATGCTCTCCGGTAACTTAAAAGAGGTACCGTACATTTCACTTGGTTTACATTTACAAGCCTAGCGAGAACATACCATAAAGGGATTTAGCGATAAGAAGAGGATGTAAAATTAGTCACAGGTATCAGCGGCCACGTAAAAGTGAAAAGAGATAACAGAAGCATAGCAAAAGAGAAGAAGGACTCAACTTACCATGGTCCAAGACGAGGTTTCCAGGCCGGCTTTAAGACAGACTGTGATGACGACAAACTGCGGAGACACAAACCACATGTTCGTTCAGCAAAGAGGATCATGTGAAGTTCATCCCACATACCTGAATTCGCAATAAGAAAGCATTTTACTGGAAAAAACGAAACTGGAAAAGATCATCAGACGATTGAAGAGAAGAAGACAAGAAAATATAGCTGATGTTTATTCGCTGGCATTTAAGAACACTTGGCTCACACACCCGAACTCTGTAACACAGCAGAAACACTGCCAGGGAAGAAGACCGGTGCACTTACCGTGTAAACCATGTTGCCTAAGAGGAGATAGTCCGGAGTTCTTCCATTGCCAAAAACTGTATCTGTGAAGGGAATCAGCAGCAGAGGCTTTTAAGCTGTCCTTCTTCAGCTCTTAGGTTTCACATAGGGTAACACTTTAGGTACATCAATGTGAGTTTTGTCATAAAGTGCTTGGAGTGGAGCAGGGAACTAAAAGTAGAAACCAGAGTCAAACGCTGCTTCCATTACTGTCCTTGAGAGAGCCTGGAATGTTAATTTCAAGGCAGTATGTGTATGTAAATCCAGCAGAATTGGTGTCCATTAATCATATTCAAAATGAAAAGTTCTGGCTAATTTAGTGCTGAAAGAGAGGGTAAAATTATTTTTCTGGCAACATTTTAATTAATTCTGCCATTAAAAAGGAATCCGATGCTTTTCGTATAACTTCCTAAATTAATAAGACTGAAATAAGCTGTGAGTCACACAGACATATTGCTTCATACCGCCCAAGTGGGCCTGGGCTCTGGCTAAAATATCAACAGTGTGCACTGCCAGTAAAGAAAGAGAGGCTCCCTTTCCCTTTACTTCCGGCTGGTCACGTGTCTTGTGTGCGCTGAGGCTTTGCTGACAGCCTGTCAGTCACAGTGAGGGGCTTGGCGCCTTTTGTTTGGAGAGCAGGCCCAAGCTTGTGTGGTCCTTAGCTCCAGCCAGCCAAGACTTACCGGCTCAAAGATCCCTATTCTCTCTGCACATACACCCACACACACACAGAGACCATCTCAACGTGCCAAACATGCACAATTGACCTTCTATGGATCAATAAAGTTATTTGCACTCACGAAGCTCTCTGTTTGAATAAAAACATCATTTTGGCCACAGAGAAAGCACCTGATTGGGTCTATGTTATCTATCAAAGCTAAGTAAGTGCCAATAACTGCACGCTAAAGCATTTCAGCAGTCATTAGGGCAAACATGAACATGGGCTTGTTATTGCGTGTCCCTCGGACTGGAGCACACACATGTTTGCAATTCATGACTGGATGGTTGAAAAGAGAACTAATTAAGACAAAATACGTGTCTTTGACTGTCCTCCTTATTTATGCGCCAGGTCCACCGAGAGCCGTGGAGGAGTCTCTGGGAGCTACTTACCATGCTGGAAGGCTTTAAGGGGGAACCAGAAGAGGATGACGGAGTGGAAGAGGCCGTTCAGACAATGGGCCCAGAAGACCTGCAAAAAAGAGGGAAGAGGGATGGAGGGAAAGGATGTATAGGAGGGGGAGGACAGGGGAGGGGGAGGTTGGACAGCAAGAGATTCCAATAAGAGGGTGCGAGGGAGAGAGAGTGGAAAAAAAGCATGAGAAAAGGGTGTTGGGAGCTCCAGCTTTCCAAGTGACCCCTGACCTGGGCCCTTTGTGCCAGCCAGGCGCTAGGCTAAGTGGCGGTTTTGTCGGGGCCTCCATGCTGAATGGCCGCCCCGCTGACAGACACGTTGTATATCCTCTGTGTGTGTTATGGGGGAGAAAGAGGTTGCTGAATGTGTTCATGGGCAGTTAAAGCTAATACAAGTTTGCACATTTTCCCTGTAGTCAAGAATAAATTAAAACAAAAAGAATCAGTGGGTGTAAGAAAAATACACATACTCATCTCAACAACACAAACACTGTATAACATTAATGTATGAGCTGCCAGTGTGAGGGTTTCCTCTCATTATATTTCATTAGGCTTCGGCCCTTTCATGTGAGGATTTTAACTGGTGTAGTAATAAATGACAGCAGAGTTTAAAAAAGCAAAAATAAATCTAGAAACACACACAGGGAGACTGACAGGCCTGACAGAGATTAAACTGTTTTCATGGTAATTATTGAGAGCCTGCTGGAAAACCGTGGACCGCAGTCTGCGTGTGCGTCTGTCTACGCAAGCATGTAGACTTGAATCGTTTACATCCATACTGTCTCTCTCTCTCTCTCCAAAGCCGCGTTGCTTCAAATTCACATTATGCGACGCGATGGCCAAACAAAACACTAATGGGTGATGTACCATGAAACAGCCGTGAAAATCCTTTCTGCCAAAAAACACTCCATATTTGTGCCGCCTTTCCCCCGCTGTGCTAACACAGACGCTGCTGTGAATCCTGAGAAAATTTGTCGAGATTAAAGGGCAGATGGAGCAGGGCATTAAAAAATCAACAGCAAACGGGGGAAAGCATCACGTTTTAGTATCTGGCTTGTTTTAAAAAGGCTCGCTTTTTTAATATCACTTTTCAACAACTTCAGCAAACCTGTCAGTGAAATATTAAACACTACTTAGACAAGATGAATTACACATCCTGGAAACTCACTTTCTGTATGTTGTGGTCTTCAGAACAGCTATTCGCACTATTTTACTGTGTAGGGTTACTTGAGATCATCTGGCTGGAAAATGAATGGGCACAGTGAAGGAACAAGTCCTGCTCTAATCTACGCTACGGGCTTGTTTTTGGTCGCTGTAGCACAACCTCCTCATCTAAAGTCCTTTAGCAGCCACCCCCAATCCTGGATTACCTCACTCTCCCACTGTGTACACAAAACCCAATACACTGAGTGAGGGCCAGCCAAAGCAAACCCCCACTCCTCTATCTCTGTGGTCAAATGTGTATTAAATTATCACCAATGTTACAATCACATGTTTATGCCAATTAGCCTCCCACTGGCAGGCTCAGCTCTCTACCAGCCTCCTCCCCAGCTATCTCAATCCCAAACTCTGTGGGAGTGTAAGCCAGCCCCAGTTTCCGCTCTACCATAATGAATGCTAATGAAATCTATAAATGCTCATAATCATTTGTCACAGTAGGATCCTCCCTTTCGCCCCTCCAGCCACCAGGCTCTTTTCTTTCTTGTTACGCAGCAAGTTGCTGGGGCAAGAATGAATGCCTCGTCTGTCCTGCAAATATTCGGCCCTTTGTCAGAATCCTAATTGCCAAAAACAAAAATAAGAAAAAGAACCTAAACCACACGAAGGCCAGTAATTAATATCGAGCCAAATATTTCCAGAGTTGCTCCCACGCTTCCTGTTTCAGTTTTGAGGAAAACCGTATGCAAGAGAAGTAATGGTGCTATGTAGGAGGTGATAGCTTCTGGTAAACTGCTGCGATCACCGAGGCCGCACGAAGGGGAACGTGGTTTATTAGGGCGGTTTAGGTGTCTAGAATTTGTAATTAAAAGTGAATGAGCGACACAGCTGAAGCCACGCCTGAAGTTTCTAACACCCTCCGTCTCTCCCTTCTCGCACCTCAACACAAACAGCTTTAATTCACAAAGACAGTATCTGTTGTGTACAAAAGAGCCGGGCGAGCAGAAAGACAGGCTTCGAGGGGCCAAATTCCTGCTGGATTTTCTCGCCTCGCCTCGGGCCAGCTGCAAGGAAAATATCTCGGGAATAGAGTGGACAAGCCAGCAAAAACAACCTGCTGACCTGGCCAAGTCATCATTTATGAGTCTTGGAAAATGTGGCCCAAACAAAAATGGAGGTTCATTTGCTTCTAACTATCACATGAATATTTTTTATGATTCCTTTTTTTGGCACCAGAAACTTAATGAAGTCTTTGCAAAAAGCTAATTAAAGGGAAATCCATCATACAACAGGATTCACAGAAAATGTCATACGATTTATGAAGTGGTCATAAATCATTAAAGTATGATTAATAATAAAACAATTGTGAATCATAAAATCTGAAGTGATGTGCAAAGAACACAGGGCGCTTGGTTCACATTTAGTCTATTTGTTTTTCTGTGAAATGACCTTCTATTTTTTCCATTTCATTTAGATAGTCAGCACACATCCACTCACTGCTGTTATGCCAATTTATCAACTGTGACATTACAGTCTTTAAATGTTATATATATATTTCACACTGCTGGGAAAAGCTTTTTGCTGTATTAAAAATGTGTGACATTAGCAGGGCTACACCTAATGTTCACGATATGTTTTCCTTAATTAAACAAAGGCTAATTGTGTGCAACAGCTGCTCTACAGACACTTACTGATTAATCATATCATGTATATTTACAAAAACATAAGATTCAAAGCTACAACTTTACGAGACGTTTCAATCTTAACGCTGCCTTCTGTCACTTTTAAGTGTGTAGCTAAGAAACAAACTTCTGAAAGGTTATAATTTAATGTGGTAGAAAAATTTACATACTTAGAAGTACAAATTGTGCCAAAGATAAAGCAGGAGGTGTTGTTAGTGCCAGTTCTAACCAGTGTGATCATGGAGTCAGTGACAGATGGATGCGTCAGCAAGTGTCAGATGTTTTAAAATGAATGTGTTATCAAAGCAACTTTATCCTTTACACGTGTTCTTGAAAAAAATAGAAACTACATGCAAGACAAGTACTAAGGTATACTTGTTATACTTGGTAAACAACCTCTTCCTGTGTATTTGTACTCTGATATCATGCAGAGCAGACTGGCGATCCAGCTGTTAGGTGTAATACTAACATGCTAATATACTAGAGCCTCCTATGGACTAACCAGCTGTTTTTTAATCGTAGGATCAGATGCTACATTTAAATTTTATCTATTTTATTTATTATCTGTAACAATTCATCACAAATCAGAACAAATGAGCTAAACGCTCATGTTCATTGGGACGCATTTTAAAATGGCTTTTTTAAAAACAGAAGTGAGTGTTTCTCGAACTCGGGATCGGACCATCGTCATCTGATCTGTGCAGTCCGGTATTGTGTGGCTTAAATGCGATCTGATAGGCTTCTAAGAGAACAAAAAAAACACCTCACTTAAACAAATTGCATAATTTTCTGCGACAAATGCCATTACACAGTGACAGCACACTCTCTCTACTCCCTCCTTTTCTGCTGCCATCTCCCAACAGATCTGAGCTTCCATGCCCGTGACCACCATGGCCAATCTGCTTTTAATCCACCTCCATGTGGTGCTAACCAGGTCACCACGCCTGTGAGGAGGGTCCAGGAGTCTCTGGCTCAGCATGGAGAAAGGAAGAGACGACTTTATTACCAGTTGAAGGGGGAAGCTAACAGACAGCCCCCGCAACCAGACAGAACAGGTCAAGCCAGGCCAAACCAGGCTACGACTGGATACCCACAAACTGCAGCTGCCAGGTCACTGAGACGTCAACACAACAGATCGCTGTCCCGTTATTAATGTGATTTCATTACTGGGACTTTTAACCTTTTAATTTAGTGGAGAACAAAATTAATTCCCAATCATAAAAGGTACAATAAAAAGAACATAACATACTTTAGTATAAGTTTGTTGTTGTTGTCACTTAATTTGAGCAGAATTAAAGAAATGGCTGTTACCGACACTGGGCTGTTGAAGCATGTCAGTAAAGCTAACAGTATTAATGACATACTACGTCTATGGAAAATACTGTTACACCCACATACTGTTAGACTTTACACGAAATATTTTCACAGAACATGATACTTATACTTAGGACTGCAATGAAGAGCAAACTGAGAAAAATAAATAATCTAAAAGTACTGAAATCTGTTTATGTGTTACAGGAAACATCCACATAGATAACATACATGTGATGAGAGGATCAAATTACCTTGGTATTGAAGCCCATGGCATTCTGGGAGGTTTTGTAGAGCTCTGGGTATTTCAGCATATTCTCTTTCCTGCAGGAGCGCTCAAATATTCCCAGAGTGAGAGGAGGCAAGGCAGTGAAGATCTACGAAAAAAACACACCCGCAGACGTGCACAAACACACAGTGATGAATCTGATATGAAATAATATGATTTTGCTAAAAATATCTCCTTTTAAAGCTGCCACAGTAAATCTGACCTCCAACATCCTGTCAAAGCTCTGTTTCATTTTGTTCTCCACTTGCTCCACTCTTAATTTTACTTCACTGAAGACTGGCTGACCTTATTTTGATTTGTCATGCTTTAAGTCTGTTCATATGCAAAAACCATCTCCAATGAGCATCTGTGGTCTCCTTGACTGAGGAGCAGGCATTTAAAGCATCATTTCATGGTGGTGTTGTAATGTTCTGTATAGCAGCTGCTGAGAGAGGAAGGATGCTATTTGTGTAGCTCAAGTGATTCAGTTGGTGTGAGTTCCCTCCAGGCCCATCTGGAGTGGGAGTCTTCAGGCCTCAGTCGGCAGGACCAGTGGGCTACAGGACATGCTCCACTGGCTTCTTTTCTTATTCAGAGCCAGGCTGAGGAAGACCTCCTTTGAGGGGCAGATTCAGCCCACTGCCTCTAACAGACTCCCACTGAGCCAATGGAATTCCCTCAGTTTTTGATAAAGTGAAAGACTGAAGCTTTTTCCCACAACCAAAACAGCGCTGGTTACAAAGTGTGGGAGTGTGGGGCAAAGGGAGGATATTATGAACCAGGGCAAAAGGCAGGGGTCAAATCTCAGTTTGTACCTGCCATAAATGACTTGCGCTTGAGGCCGATTGGGATTGTGGGGAAACCTCACTTCACACTTCTCTCATTCATTTTTGTTGATTGAATCGAGTTCATTTTTATAAACAGTTTAAAGTTACATGTTGACTCATTGTGGTCTTAACAGTATACTCTTAAACCTCAGACTACAGATGCACTTTTTCCCTCCTGCTTAATTCATGACAGATATGAAATATGAGTTCATTAGGAGTGGTCCTGTTACGGCGCTCTGAGGGACTCCCTACATCAGCGGCCGGCTCTGCTCCAGTCTTCCTATTCTTATTATCGTTGAAACGTAGCTGCTCTTACTAACTATACTCTTTGGGGCAAGCGAAGCTGTTGTTCTTTCGCATTCAGTACATAGTTTAGGGCACACAGGGAATACGGGCTTGACAACGGGTCATAAATAAAGGAGAACTTTTTCAGGATGCTGATGACATAGTCACGCAATAAAGGGATCAGGCTTGAGGCACCACAGCTAATACGTTCTGTGTCAAAGAGGGGACAGAGGTAGAGGAGTAAAGTGGTCTCTATAGAGGCACATGTTTCTAAACACTCACCACATTGTACAAGCCGATGCACCAGCGTTCAAACAGAATCTGACCAGAGAAGCCATTGACGAATGCAAACCAGATCTAAGAAAGACAAAAAAAATGAGTCAAAACAGCAACATACGAACAGAAGAAATACAATCAGAGATTTATAATACAATCTTTTTTAAGAAGCCATCAACTTTAGTGGCAAACAATGAAGTCGAAGTGTTGTAACATGTGAAACATCTTTCAATGAGCACTGTCATTTTACGCTGAAAGCCATTTGCTCCCAGTTTTGATATTGAAAGCTTTAATCATAGAAGACGCTGCCACATTTACATGCAAGCAGCCATTTGCTCTTTCGGTGTAAGCTTTTCATTAGTGATTGCAAAGATAAGTGACATTATCAGATTTGAGACAGGATCACTGCATCTACAAACTAACGATCCACACAGCATCCTTCAATGTCTTTCTTATCCTACCATCAGATCAAAGGGAACGCAGCCTCCGCTGAGATTGCAATTATAGATAATAGAAAAGAAAAAGTATGTTTCCCTTTAGTGTAAGGGAAAAAAGAAATAACCGAATGATCCTTAAATTAAAGTGGTTTGGTTTTAAAGTGCTGACCTGTGATCAACCTGCGTCATTAGTTTAATTTAGACGCAATTCTAACTTAAAAAAAAAAAAACAGGCAGAAGGGCCAAATGAGAAAAAATGAGAGACAGTGGGAAAGCCAGGACCTCCAGGTGGCACCTCGGAGATGCAAAGTCTCCACTGGATTCATCACACGATTAACTTCTAACATATATCTTACCCACTGTTTTCCTCCATGATCTACCTGATGACATGTGGGTGACAGATGAGGTTAGTTCTAAGGCCAAAGTCAGGACTGCAGAACTCCTGAGTGATTGAGACTTTGATATATTGTGTCAGGAAAGGCAGACAGAGGTAATGTGAACCATGTGCTGAGTGGAAACGAGGCTTATCACCGTATTTTGATTAGCCACGCTTATTTGAGCAAAATAATGCCTCTAAGATGAAAGCAGAGCAATAGCTCCAATCTGGTAGGGAAATGGCACATACGTCGAATTTTTATTGGTGTAAAGCGGATTTATCTGACATATCCTCGAGTAAATCTGACTGCACACCCTGAAAATTGTTTGCAGATTGTAAATCAGCAACTGCACCTTACAGAGTTACAGTTTGCAATGTTGCGGTCCTGGACAGACTCATGCCAAAACTGTCAAGAGAACATCAGGGGTGCTGCGTTTTGGCCATGGCCAACCAAGCATTTCCTCGCTTCATTTAACTTCATTATGAAGGCATGAACTGCTACAAATTCTCAGATTGAGACAAAGCCTGTTTCGGAGCCCCGCCTGCCGCTGCCACTGTCTACACGACCAATAATAATCTACCACTGGTCCTTCCCATTTACTCCTGAAAGCATAGGCATGAAAACAAATGGTGAGGGGGGGATGTAGACGAATCCTCTGTTCGCCCCTACCCTGCCCCTTACCTTCCCCTCTCTGCCTCACCCACCCATCCCAGATCCCGCCATCAGGTGCACTCTACCATGATGCTGTGTCTTTTAAAAGAGGGGGTCTGGTTTCAACCTCAGCTGAATGTGGGACTACATATGGCTAGACCAAGACCAAAAGATGAACAGTACAACCCCTGGCAAAGCACAGAGAAATATATTCAGATGCCAGTGCGGTGGGTTGTGGGTAGACGGAGCCCAAGCTATGAGCCAGGTTCATCCATTAGCTCAAGCGACGGTAACGAGAGGCTAGCGGGTAGGTCAAACTGCTGAATTAATTACAGCTCTGCTCAATGAGGGTCTGGGCTGATATATTGTTGTGCTAAGTTAAAAAAGACTCCTATTCATAGCTTGAGGTAACTGCTTCTGTGTGAGTGTTTTGGCCTGGTCTCTCGGGTCCCAATAGCTTCCCTCTCTCTCTTTCTCACTCTCTCCGTCTCTTGAGGGACAGATGCATTGATTTGCTCATTAGGGGAAGTACCAGGCCGGATTTTTCCTTCCCCTTTTCTTCTCCTCTTTGAGTGCCACTCAGCGAAGGGGTGTGGCTGGCCTCTCTCCCTCACTGCACATCATGAAAAACAGGGATAGAGGGAAACAGGAGCTGTAGAAAAAAGGAGGATTGGGCAAGGGCTAGGAGATAAGAAGACTTGCATATTCATCAGCAAATGAAAAATCATTGATTCCAGTGTTGCTTCACTGCTGTCTCCAAGTGGCTGGAGGGTGGGGGGGTGAGGGTATGACATTTGTCCCCAACAATGCGAGTCCTGACACTCTTAAGCTCAGCCCTGCAGGATTGTTAATGGAATTCATACACAAAGCAAGCACAGAATAAAGAGTCGCATAAAGAGGGAGCTGATAAATATGCTGGAAATATGTGGAGCTACAAACAGAAGCAGTCTCACAATGCCAGGCATGGCCTCCGTGGATTAATTCGGAGCTACTGGTCGGCAAGCTTTGCTCTGCTACTCGGAGCCGTCTCTGACTAAACTGAGCTCCACTGAATGAGCTTTCATGTAATTGCCTCATAAATGCCACTTGTCCATCAGCCCCCTCTGTAGCACCCTGGCAATGTGTCAATCAAAGCTGAGAGGCCAGCTGGCTCGCCCATGTGAACGGAGTTTCTATGGTTTCTTTTAAAAAGGGTCTCTTAGCTTTAATGTGGCTCAATTCCACTTTTTTGCTGCTGTTCTTCAATCACTCGAGGTTATAAATTATTCCCGAACTTTAGTTACTGGACACATTGTTTAAAAATGTTTGGTTACATGTTGCCGCCTTTTTTCCCCCTTCTTTTAAATCAAATGAAAATTCATAGCTCAAGCATGAATGTGCTTAAAGTGCTCTCTAACCGATTAGGAAAAGAAATGCCAATCACAACCAGCAGCCTCTAAAAAGTAAAAAGAAACACTGAGGTCGTTGCGCATGTCAGTCAATCATCCGCTGGAGTGACAGCCTTACATTCTGACTCACAATTAACCCTCTGTGAGCCACAGAAAATCTTGAACCGCTCCAAGAGCTTCAGACGAAGTTGTGCTCACATTCACGTCTTCCACAATAGGCCGAGAATCCTTCGCCCTCTTACTCCATGTGTCTTATAAGAAACCAAAGACCCCGTGGAAGCAGAGGGAGATGAAAAGAGGCTTAAACACAGGGTCTTCCTGCCCTGGCATTCAAATTGTAACCCACACTGTATGGGACAATGGTGCTGCGAACAAAAAGTTAAAATTCCCGTCAACATCCTCGATTCTGTTCTTGCAAGGCATCCCGAGAGTCGAGGGGAAAACATGCGAGCTCAAAAGTAAACCTATTAGTGCAACAAACGCTGCTTTGACTCATACCCCGGGGTTGCCGCTGTGTTAGATGTCAAGGTCTTACAACACGGGGACATTTCAAATACCAGCCAAATCGTGAAGAAATGTCCTATTATCTACTTCATTCCCCTGAAGGAGCCGAGCATGAGAGGGGGAGGGGACTTATGTTTTCAGAAAGCAACAAAAGGTGTACTGGAAAGAAGCTCGCCCTGCAGACAAAACTATCGATGTTATGTTCCAGTCGCTGGAAAAGGGCCTTTGAAAATGGACCTGGTATGTTTCAAAGGGAAGCAGTATTTGGTGGCACAAGGAAAAAGAAGAAAAGGATGCCGAGAAGAACACTGACCAGGTTTTGATGTTATCTGCCTTTTCTTTTAAACTTAAAAATCAAATTCCTAGTGATTGAGAAGCTAACGTTTACCCATGATTAAAAACAGAGACAAACAAGCGTAATCCAATTTTAAGATGTAAATGTCAAATGTAATGGATCGTGCCAACAGAAAATTACATTTGCTGAAAATTGAATTTTACTTTGAACTTGTTCTCTGAACTGTTACGGCATATGTGGAAAAGGGCAGCAGGATCGAATGGTCACAATGAATTTATAACTGCAGTTACAGCCTGGAAAGAGAGCCGTTACCCTCTTTCCAGGTCACAATAAGTCAGAGGCAGACGCGCTGGAATGTTTTAAATACACGACGGATTTTTCATGGCACATAAACTAAAATGAGGATTTAAAAAGGGAGGATCAGAGGTCAAGTGTCACAGAAAGAGGATCAACAAAAGCAATTTTTTAAGTGGTCATATTTCCATAAAAGGTTATGTGATTATGAGGTTCTAAAAACCTGACGCTTCAGCAGGGAGCGTTCTCAAAACGCCAACATTTTATGAGCAAATAAAGCAGTATTCTCAAATCTTGTAAAGCAACATAAGGAAAGAGAGGTGGTCTTTTAAGTGGCCAAATAATGTATTTTTCTCCTGTTCTGCTCCCAGATGTTACCTACTTCATGGAAATCGTTTCATGTCGTGTTTTCGGTTACGCTGCGTGGTCACTTTGGCACAAAGCGACTGGTAAAGCTCAAAGATCAAACACTCAGCAGTTTCCACTTCTGGATTTTTGGGACGGTGCAAAGCCAAACTTGCTACTTTTGTCACACAAGTGCACGGCCTGTTGATCAAAACATCTGAGCACTACTAGTGATAAAGCTGCCGATGATAGGAAGCACTTCACGTGTCTGGCCACCCTTGGTTATAGATCTGAGGCTACAATCTGCACTGGGTCTGGTATCGGTCAGATGCCATCAAACCCACCACACAACAACTGACCGATGCCGGCAGAGACACGTGAAACTATCTAATCCTTATCCACTGATAAACAGGGAGAGTGTTCGAGTGTCTGTGAACATTTCCCAACAAGGCCCATCAGTGCAGTAAAAATCACAGTGATGGGAAAATGTTATTGAGCATTATTTCAGGAAAGAAGTTGAACTTGCCAAAGAAAAAAAATATTGCATATAAATATGTAGGAACATCACAAGAAAGCCATTTGATAAAATACATGAAAAAGAAAGTTAATCCTAACATTTCACCATTATCACAGCCCAAGTTAGAGCATAACATGGTTGGCCACTAATCATCTGCATTTTATTTCTTGGCATGTCCAATGTTATTCGCATAACAATTAATACCTAAATGTTAGGACATAAAATATGTGGAGTGACTAGTGAACTGGTTCGACTTCTCACTAACTCAGATGAACTGCAGATTAATATTCTGAGGACTGAACAACTGGCAAGGACTAAAGGCAGACTTCCTGTTGATTATACCACGTATGATAGAGTGTGTATGTCTGCGAGCGTTCTCGTGGGCATATTCTGCCCCGATATGTCAAAACTCAAACCCTTCATCCAGCAGCTGCACAACCTGGCAGGTACTGTGAGGGGCCAGTCAACAGAAATACAAACATGGAAACTCTAACAGGGAATCTTTGCCTTTACGTAGTTGTGCCATTTGCATCTTTGAAAAAAAGAATCTCAAAGCTGTGCATTCACATCTGGCTTTTTGCATGACTTTCAGTGCTGAGAGCTTCTGTGTGAGTCTTACCTCGATGATGTACAGGACAATATTCTTGTAGAAGCAGTATAGGATGCACTTGGCTACGCGGTTGTAATTCCAGGCTCCGTGAACCAGCAGCAGATTCTTTAAGTATTTGAACTGTGTGGGAGGGAAATGAATGGAGGAATACGACAAAATGAACGGATAGCAGAACTCTGTGTCTAATGTTTGTCTCTAATGGCTCCTTGTAATCAGAGATCAGGGCTGGAGCACTAAAAGAGTTACAGAACTTCAAGATTAAAAAAAGGTCTTTTGTCATTCCCGGGCAGAAAGCCTCTGATGAGAGCTTGTGGCCAAAGCTCTCGCTAACACATTCCAGAAAGTGTGTAGACAAAGACTGCAAGGCTGAGATTTGAGTTGCTGAAATTGGAGGGGTTCATATGGGGGTATTAGTCTCCAAGGGCCTAACATAATAGTTAAATGGCTTCATAATTATACCACTATTTAAGGCCTGTGGTGAACTTTCAATCACACTGCAATTTTGGCTGATGAGTGTGATAGCACTGGAGCAGAACAAGTGTTTCATCACACCTTCTAGCCATCTAGAAGGGGTAGCTTGTGTCCAAAATCATTCACTTAATCACTTCTCCCTCTTTGCTCCAAATTAGTGAGCCCATCGGCAAAAAGGAAAAGCCGCTTTCGGACAGTGCTCGGGTCATTTTCATGGCTTCATTAATTACATTATTGCTGTTGCACAATTAAAAAGTGATACATCAACACCAGCTAACAAAATAATTACAGACTGATTTTTTTTTATGATAAAAGAAAAGACACCCAGCATGTTGTCCTGTAACGCACAAAATCTCTGTCAGTGTTTGTTTTTGTCTGTGAACGCCTCAAAGACCATCAAGAGCCGGGGAGCCAGACTCGTTACACTTAGCTATACTCATCTATATGAGCAATCACCTGGCAACAGGCTTAAATATATATATTTTAATGCACTTTGACACCCTGTAAAGCAATTTTTTATTTCACAGCAATATCTTCTCATTTATATGCACAGAAGTTGAATTATACATGGCTAGCAAGAGGCTGACATATAAATTACATCAACCCTCATTTTTCTCTTTTCTTCTGTCAGCGTGATTAAGTATTTCAACTTGCCAACACTGTGAACTAGCGTGGGCATATACTAGCCTTTACAAACATAATAAATATACATATTTTTTAGTAGTTGAAATTCTTTATGTTTGGGTAATGATTGTGGGTTTTACACACTTTTGTGAGCAGTTGTGTCATACTTTTAGCGCAGTACATGGAGCATAGTAAAACTCCTTTTACATTTGGATAGCACTAAAACATGGCTTGCTATATATCCCAATTGTATTGTGAGTAGTGAGAGCCTGACATTTTGAACACAGCTTTATTTATTTTGGGGTCTTGTCTTTCAGCATCAACACAGAACTCCTCTGTGATATGAAAGAACAGTCGCAGCTCCCAGTTTGCGTGACCCCTCGGAGGGCTGGATCAAACATCAGTTAACACAGAGCCAAGCTGATGACAGACAGTCAGCAGAGATGCCTTGGCCTGAAGCTCTTTACTCTCCACTTACTTTAACAGATAACACTGTTCAAGTATCAAATCTAGCTGTGTAGTAATCTATAGCAGCAAGATGCTCATCTGACACTCACAGACATTAATCTAAATCATGTATAGGAGTAGAAAGTTATACAACTTCCCCCTGATTGATTTCAGTTTGTAGTCAGCGGATTACAGTTAATGTACCGTTGCGCCAAGATGCGGAAAGTACCACTGGAAGTCTGGAGGTGTAATTTAATTCGACACAAATCGATTACAAGAGGCCACCTGTCTTTGAAGAACATACACTTTCTACATGTCATGCGGATTAAATGGGGAACTTCAGACAAACCCAAGTCTCTTGATTAGTAATTTCATACTGAAGCACAGAAAATGCACTGTGCCTTAGTCAACTCTTAGTTCCTCATACCCCCAAGCCTCTTGGCTGTACAAACACAATGAACTAAGTGGTGTGCTGTGTAACAGACTCACAAACGCCATGGATTTTGTGTCAACGGGTGTCATATGTATGCAGCGTTTCAGACAAAGTGGTTGCTGGGACATGAGTATGGGTTTAAGAAGCAGTTTGCCAGGATGCGTTCCCTGTAGCTGTGTTGGGAGTTGGGTTTCACCACAGGCCTGTTTTATAGGAGATGCTACTTTACTGTATAAGTTGAAGCCCTTTCAGATATGTGACCTATTGTTCCTCAGAACAATGTACCAAGCTATCAGTAACATGTAATACATGGAAACAGCGACAAGGCTGTCACAAGGCATGGAAAACAGTATTACTGATAAAGTACTGTATGGATAAGCATTTGCAACTTTGACGTGTTTATCGAGTCGTGTATTATTATGATTTTCACTTTGCTTGAGCCAAATTAAATATCATAACCTACCTGGTATCTTCATTTTTGCAGTCGCTGATCTTTTATTACTAGACTGACAGATTGGATCCTGTTAATATTTTAGTATTTCTCTGATTCTCAAATTCCTTTATTGAGGTGAAGTTACTGAAAAGCCATCAAACCCATCACAAAGGTGATGATTTACAATTTTAAAGAAGCATGAGCCTTTAGCTCACAGGAAGCACTTGTACAAATGCAGATGTTATTAGTTAATGTGAGCATAATAGATCTTCTTTAAACTTCAATACTAGGTAAAAGTTCCCACTTTATTTATTTGTGCTTTCAATCTCTGACTCCTCACCTGAGCAATCGAGTAGTCTGAGGAGTTTGCCGCCTGCAGACCCTCGTTGCCTGAGATTCCCACACCGACATGTGCTGTTTGGATCATTCCTACGTCGTTAGCACCATCGCCGATGGCCAGCGTGATCACCTTCACCTGTTTTTTCACCATCTCAACCACTTCTGACTTCTGAAGAGGCGATACTCTGAAAGGAAGTGATTGATAACACACGTGAGTCAAGTCCAAATCTGGGATAATAACAGTAAGAACAAACATAACCTGGGTAAAACAGCAGCTCATATAAAGTTACATAGAATTGGTTTACTTTTTGACAGGATCTCTTAAAGAGTAACAAATATAAACTGTAAGATACTAACTGCTGCTGGCTGGGTGTGAAAAGGTGGAAAGGCAGCGTTATAGAATAGATAAACATCTTCTTAATTTACTAAGTAAAACCCATCCTCTTCCTCAAGACTTCAATCTTAGCTTTATGCCCTCACTGCCAGCCTCTAGCCTCCCCAACAGTGGCTTCTTCTTTGTGCACCAAACTCAGCGTCGCATACAGTAAAGAAATTCTCTGGAGATGATGATGTTGTAAACTGCACGTCTGTCTTTAACTGTGAAACTGTTAATGTTTATGTTCTCCATGGTTTAAGGGGCCTCATTCATCTCGCGGTGTATCTTAGTGCCCACAGAGTGTGCACAAGGCAAAGGCAGGTGGAGGTGGGGGCAAAAAAATAAATACAAATTTGACGTACTGCACGGGTAATAGCGTGGCATCTAAAGGGTCGCTGTTGTTCTGAAAACATGGTGCTGAGTTCTGGCCCCAGATCCTGTCATGGCTGCTTGAGTACTTAAGTGCTTCCTCTCACTTATGTGGCCTGGGCAGGTCAACAGCGCACCTTCATGTTATATTACGGTGCCATAAAAAGTCTAAATGGCCTTTATGGTGGAGAAATAATAATATGTAGATTTAGGACATAGTTTGAAATTTCACTTGGGTCATTTTTAACATTTGGCTCTAATAGAAAAATAAACTTGAAGACAACAGCTTGGGCTCTCGGATTATTTACTGCCTGATTCTTTTAGACACGACATTTAATGTCTTGCTTGTTCCCAGCTTATTTTATTGTTTCGGGTTTAAATTTTACCTGCAGCATATGACAGCTTTACAGGACAAGGCGAGGTCCAGGAAGTACTGGCGCACTCCAAATGTAAGAGCGTATTTTAGAGTCTTTCCATCAATAATGAGAGCAAAGTCGTTTTCCTTGTAGAGGGAATCTCCCAGCATTCCACAGTGGTGGCTGAGGGTTTCTCTTGTTCTCTAAAAGAGGGGAAAAGCAAAGAATTTGATATTTTAATGTTGTTTTTGGGTTTTGCTTCTCATGATGTTTCTGATTAATTACCAAACAATGGTATAACAACACTTTAAGGGTGTCTGTAGAGCAGATCCTCAATGAAGAAAGAAGGCGATCAGGATTTTGACACATTTAATGACTTGCTTAATTACCCATATTACTCCTCTGAGGTTTCATGACGTTTATCTTAATTTTGGAGTAACTTTCTCACAGACAAGGGAATAAAATAAAACAAACAAAAAGAATTTTTGAACGTGATGGCGAAATAATGAAAAAGAATAGATTAAAAAAAGCACAATAAAATGAAAAATAGCTATAATGAGCTTTAAAAATAGAATTAACAAACAAGTCCACACTTCACTGGAAATGACAACATTTGGTCTAAAGAATCTCTAAAGACAAAAAATTATCTTAGCATCTTAATTTCCACCAAAAATTACCTTTATATTATTGTAATGCTTTCATGAATGATCAATGCCTAAATCTCCACCCAAACTGTAACAATGTTTACATATATTAGATTCTCGCCACTCACACAGTTTGAACTGATTCCTACTGAGAACGTTTTAATTATAAACATTTATTGTCATATATACACTTGATATATATCTATATCTATATACATACATACGACCAACAAGTAATATAACTTTATTCTCCATTTGCATTACTTTCAAACAGACAGATCTGGCTGCTAATCCCTGACTGCTCCAGAGCAGCTGCTCTTGATATCTTGAATATTTATTATAATTCTCCTATTTATTACACTGAGGCCTTAGCTATGATGTAATAACACAGATGAGTTCTGTGAGTATATTCTGTTTGCTTTTACAGTATATATATCTGTGGTGTTGATGAAAAGCTATAAATATGACACTGACAAGAGGATTAACCGTGGTGGTCTATGGGCATGTGGACTGGATGACAGAGTGGTGAGATCTTCATTGTAGTACTCATTAAATCATCCTCACCACAGATGGTGAA